ATGAGTCCTCCAAGGGCAGCCATGAGTCCTCTGAGGGCAGCCATGAGTCCTCCAGAGGCAGCCATGAGTCCTCCAGAGGCAGCCGTAAGTCCTCCGAGGGCAGCCATGAGTCCTCCAAGAGCAGCCATGAGTCCTCCTAGGGCAGCCATGAGTCCTCCAAGGGCAGCCATGAGTCCTCCAGAGGCAGCCATAAGTCCTCCAGAGGCAGCCACGACTCCTCCCCGATCCCCCACTCCCTCTCCAACCACTGCCACGACGCCCGCAGCCCCGCCTCCCCCCATCTCCCCCTGCTCCCCACAGATGCCGGCTCCCCGGCCCCGTTTGCGGCGGCGCTGCGCGAGCTGCTGTCTCACCTGGAGCGCTCGGCCTGGGCTCCGTTCGTGTCGTCGGCACACTTTGGGCGCTTCGTGCAGTTCAAGTGGCTGGAGGCCCAGGCCGTGGGCGCCGACGCCTTCGCCGATTTCCGCGTGCTGGGCAAAGGCGGCTTCGGCGAGGTTTGCGCCTGCCAGCGCCGCGCCACCGGCAAGATGTACGCCAACAAGCGGCTCAACAAGAAGCGCCTCAAGAAGCGCCAGGGATACGAGGTGCCGCCTGCAGGCCCTGGACGTCCGTCTGTCTGTCCTGCAGCCCCATCTGTCCACCTGTCTGTCCTTCAGCCCCCTGTCCGTCTGTCCGTCCTGCAGCCCCATCTGTCCACCTGTCTGTCCTTCAGCCCCCTGTCCGTCTGTCCGTCCTGCAGACCCCTGTCTGTTCATCTGTCCATCCTGCAGCCCCCTGTCCGTCTGCCTGTCCAGTTTTCAGCCCTCCATCCATCTGCCTGTCCGTCCTGCAGCCCGTCTGTCAGTCTGTCTGCCCTGCAGCCCCTGTCTATCCACCTGTCCATCCTTCAGCCCCCTGTCTGTCTGTCTGTCCTGCAGCCCCTGTACATCCAACTGTCCATCCTGCAGCCCCATCTGTCCACCTATCTGTCCTTCAGCCCCCTGTCCGTCTGTCCGTCCTGCAGCTCCTCTCCATCCGTCCGTCCTGCAGCCCCTGTCTGTCCGTCTGTCCATCCTGCAGCCGCATCTGTCCACCTGTCTGTCCTTCAGCCCCCTGTCCGTCTGTCTGCCCTTCCTGCAGCCCCTGTCTGTCCATCTGTCCGTCCTGCATCCCCTGTCCATCCACCTGTCTGTCCTTCAGCCCCGTGTCCATCTGTCTGTCCATCCTGCAACCACTCTCCATCCATCCGTCTGTCCTGCAGCCCCATCTGTCCACCTGTCCATCCTTCAGCCCCCTGTCCGTCTGTCCGTCCTGCAGCCCCTCTCCATCCATCTGTCTGTCCTGCAGCCCCCGGACATCCATCTGTCTGTCTTGCAGACCCCTGTCTGTCCGTCTGTCCATCCTGTAGCCCCATCTGTCCGCCTGCCCATCCTTCAGCCCCCTGTCTGTCTGTCTGTCTGTCCTGCAGTCCCCAGACATCTGTCTGTCCATCCTGCATCCCCTGTCTGTCCATCTGTCCACCCTGCAGCCCCCTGTCCGTCTGTCTGCCCGTCCTGCAGCCCCTATCTGTCCACTTGTCCGTCCTGCAGCCCCCTGTCCATCTGTCTGTCTGTCCTGCATCCCCTCTCCATCCATCCGTCTGTCCTTCAGCCTGTCCATCCATCTGTCCGCCCTGCAGCCCCTATCTGTCCACCTGTCCGTCCTGCAGCCCCCAGCCGTCCGTCTGTCTGTCCACCCACACCCAGCGCTCTGTTCTCCCTTTCCCAGCCCTGTTTTCCTTCCCTGCTGCTTTCCCATGTTCTTCCCATGTTCCTCCCGTGTCCTTGCTGTGTTCTCCCTCATGTTCTTACCACACCCTTCCCATGTTCTTCCCATATTCTTTCTATGCTCTTCCTGCGTCCTTCCCGTGCTCTTCCCATGTCCTTCCCATGTTCCTCCTGCGCTCTTCCCATGTTCTTCCCATGTGCTTGCCAGGTTCTTGCCATACTCCAACCGCATTTATGCCATGTTTTTACTGTGCACATGCATGCACTGTTCTTCCCATGTTCTTGCTGTGTTCTCCCCCCGTGCTTGCCATGCTCTTCGCATGTTTGTGCCATGTTCATCCCATGTTTGTGCCATGTTCTTCCCATGTTCTTGCCATGTTCTTCCCATGTTCTTGCCGTGTTCTCCCCCATGCTTGCCATGTTCATCCCATGACGCTCAATGCATCCTCGGCGAGCTCCTCCCTACCAGCAGCCTCACTCCCCCTCCCTTTCCTTCCCATGTTCCTGGCATGTTCCTGACGCGCCCTTGCCGTGTTCTTGCCGTGTTCTTGCCGTGTTCAGGCAGCCCTGGTGGAGAAGCGCATCCTGGCGCGGGTTCACAGCCGCTTCATCGTCTCGCTGGCCTGCGCCTTCCAGACCAAAACCGACCTCTGCCTCGTCATGACGCTGATGAACGGCGGCGACCTGCGGTAGGCGTGCGCTTGGCGTGTCCTTAGCGTGTTCCTAGCACACGCGTGACGTGTCCCTGAGAGCATGCCCTGCTCATTGTGTCCTTAGCGTGTTCTCAACACGTGCACGGCGCGCCCTTGGCCTCGTGTCTTCACGTGTTCTTAGCGTGTTCTTGTTGTGTCCCAGCGTGCTCTTAGCGTGTGCACGGCGTGTCCTTGCCGTCCCATCCTCAGCTTCGTGCCGTTGGCGTGTTCTTAGCATGCGCACAACACTCCCTTAGCGTGTTCATAGCGTGCACACCGTGCGTCCTGGCTGCTGCGTCCTTTGCACATCCTTACCATGTTGTTGTTGGCGTGTTGTTGGCGTGTTGTTGGCGTGTCAGCTACCACGTGTACAACGTGGACGAGGAGAACCCCGGGTTCCCGGAGCCGCGGGCCGTGTTCTACACAGCGCAGATCCTGCTGGGGCTGGAGCACCTCCACCAGCACCGCATCGTCTACAGGGACCTCAAGCCTGAGAACGTCCTGCTGGATGATGCTGGTGATGTGGGGACAGCGGGGTGTGGGGAGATGTGGGGCGGATGTGGGGGTGTGGGGACGTGGGGAGATGTGGGGAGATGGGGATATGGGGATGTGGGGAGATATGGGGATGTTGGGATGTGAGGATGTGGAGATGGGGGGTGTGGGGATGTGTGGAGATGTGGGGCTGTGAGGGAACGGGGCCACCGGGAACACGAGGATGTGGGGCCATCGGGAGATCGGGGCGGGCGGGGCCACGGGGGGG